TTTGATGAGGCGAACGTGATCGCCATTCTGCGTCATTTATTTTTATTCTCATTTCTTTTTTCTTTTTTGAAAGAGTATACAAAATATATATAAATTTATATGTACAAGTATTTATATATATTTTATATAAAGACATATGTGGTTTGATATTTTAGGGTCAAGCAATTAGTTAAGTTTTTTTTCTTTGTTTTAACATAATGGTCATGTTTTCAGTGAGTCAAATTCGTTCTACAGAGGCCAGAAAAAGGGAGACAGCTCCAGCGGTGTTCACGAGCAACCTACTTTGATGTGCCTACGGGATTCGAAAAAAAATATTCTTAATGGTGATAAGATGCCGGTAAAACATACAGGAAAACCTGGCGACGTCGATGAACCAATTGTGGCCTGGAATTTTACAAAAATAGAAAAAAGAAAAAAAATTGAAAAAAGAAAGGAAAATGAAAAGAGAGAAAAAATAGAATAGATAGAAAGAAAAACAGATAGAAGATAGAAAGAGAATAGCAGAAAAGAAAAGGAAAAGATATGCGCGAATTATAACGAAGATACAGAAGACAAACGTGATCTCGTAACGATAACGAGAACAAAGTTTGTCGTGTTCGTTGACAAAAGTTTGACTTCTTACCGTGTAAGATATGACTGCCATTTTTATTCGAGGTACAAGGCTTTTGGATATTCTTCGATGAAAAATCAGAGCACGTTATCGCGGTACTTTTCAGCTTGGCCGACTTAGAAACTCTCTGTTCGAATCATAATTACACTGTCTGTCCATTGGGAGCATCAAAGTTTAAATTATCGGTTATGCACTGTCGCATCCCGATGGGATACAAACTGAGAATAATAAATCAAAGTAAATAGGTAAGCAGTGTCCGGCACGCGTATCCTTTCATGTTACATTATCCCTGGGAAATAGGATTGTCCCGGAATAAGCGAATTAAAATAAGAAAAAATTTTGGATATTAAAATTTTAAAAGACTTTTTCTATCGATGCACCCAGTTGAGAATCATTCGAGACTTCGGAACGAATCGGAAAAGTTCGGATGGATCGGAAGAATTCGGGTCGATCGGAAAAATTCGGGTAAGATCGGATCAGAATATCAAAGATGGCGAATGTATAGTGAAACAATTTGTGTCTTTCTAATTGTAAAGTATTTTTGTAACATTTTCCGCAAATTTTGAACAGTTTTTTGAATGATCGTAATAAATTGTTAATCACCTTTGATAAATAATCACCTTTTATAAGTATCAAGGAGGATCAAGTATCAAATAACGCGTAATGAGATTCTGGTCGGCCCCAATCGTGGTTCATCGACGCAATTATTCGATGATACAGTTGTAATGATAACGAGCTGCCTGATCAACTGTGGGAATGCCATCCACTGTTCGACTCGACTCGATCCGATTGAGTCGATAACGAAAGAGAAGGAACAGAAAAAATAAAAGAAACGGAACAATGTGGACCGCCTCGTATGTTCTAATCACTTCGTAAGTCTAAAATCGTATCAATCATTATTATAAAAGTACTCTATGAGTCATGCACGCAACATGCCGCGGCCGAGGCTTCTAAAAGAGGTTGATTAAAAAATAATGAATTCGAATTGTTAGAAATCGTTGGCAGTCTGGTAGTTTTTCAAGCAGCTACTTGGCATCGTTGTATATACGTATATATATACATATATGTAAAAATATGTAGATATATACATATAAGAGTATAGGTGACAAAGAGAAATTTGAATCCTAGAGTGTGTACGTCACATGCATTCGGCGTTGCATAAAATCGTAAAAGAATCAGATGCTCGACGCACGATTGAGGACTTTCGTATTCCTTTCATAAAAATTTGAAAACAATATTTATTTTTTATGAATTAGACGTAATTAATATATAAATATTGTAATAAATTCATATTGTTATAACTTTTTATAATAAATTCACTTCTTATAAATATTCATTATATTATTTTTATAAGCTTTAGAGAAACGTGCTATTTTATATAAAAGAAAATAAAACAACACGTTTGTTCTCAAATTAAGGGAACGGTTAAAAAATTGACAAAAGAAATACAGAGTCCTCGAATTCGCTCTATACAAATCTTGGTTCCACTAAGAATATATTCATATATATGTATATAGTATATATATATATATATATTATATTATATATATATATATATTTATGGTGGGAGAAAGATGCGCATAACCCTCTAAAGCCGTATATCTTACAGCACTCTAGCATTCGTCAGAACTGCAGTGATCGTCAAAAATGACAAAGATTGTATAATGGCACCGGATGATATGTATCTGGAAACGATGCGTTCCTGGGCAAATCGATTTTGAATTTTAATTTTTTTTTATAAAAAATTAACGGACTATTAAAAATGTCGGAGAAAAAGAAAATAATTTTGCAATTTAATTAATTTTCTCAATTTTAAGTTAATTATTTATTTAATTTAAAGATTTCTTTTTCTGATTCTGATGAATTTCTTTTAAAGATTCGTTTTATCATTAAAAAGAATAAATTAATAAAAGGATCTTAAAAAGTATTATGACGATATTGAAATAAAATAAAATAAAATAAAATCTCACGAGAGATCAATTTCAACGAACAAATCAATTTATAAATTTGAATTGGTTTCTTTTTTTTTTAATTACGAAATAAAACTTTGAAAATAAACGCTGTCAAACGGTCAAAATTCAAGAAAACCATTAAATGGAAACGTCGAAGAAGAAAAATGGAGAAAAAAAATGGGAAAAAGTGTCTGAATCGGGAATTCGATTTACCCAGGTTATTTCGTAAACGTGCTAAGTGAGAATACATATTAGTTTCTCTTTCAAGCGTGTGTACAGCGTTTGCACATCCGTAATACTCTTCGAAATCTTTTTCTCGAGAAATGCGGTTATCGGTTGCTCCCGGAGGAGACGCGCGAGTTGCAAGATCGGTATACGACACGACTAGAAGAAGAATAAGAAATAATAATAGTAATAGTAGTAGTAGTAGTAGTAATGATAGTAATAGTAGTAGTAGTAGAATAGTAGTAGAGGAGGAAGAAGAAAAAAAAGAAGTAGAAGTAGAAGAATAAAAAACGATCTCGCGGGTCGCATTTTTTTCGTTCAGTTTGATTTTATCCGAGATGTTTTTTTTTTTTTTTTTTTTTTCCGCAAACAAAAAAGGAAAAAAAATTCAGCCACGGGCCCTCGTTGTCGAAAGCCCCTCGTCTCGAAGTCGATCTAAAAAAAAAAAAGAAGTAGAAGTAGAAGAAAAAAAAACGAGCCCGCGGGGCGCATTTTTTTCGTTCAGTTTGATTTTATCCGAGATGTTTTTTTTTTTTTTTTTTTTTGATTTCACGATACATGAATGGAATAAAAATTCAGCCACGGTCCATCGTTGTCGAAAGCCACTCGTCTCGAAGTCGATCTAAAAAAAAAAAGTACTATTTTCCTCGAATCACGATAAATCTCTCGATAAAAAATGTTCACGCTCTCTCAACAATTACTCGTCCGTGTTATAAGCAATTTTAGGCCTGGTATACCTGTACAAAATCGACCCGTATAATAAATATATACATACATATACATAAATATACACATATTTATACCATGATATAAAATAATACCATAATATGATTCTAATAATCATATATTAAAATTTCTACAAAATGTACAATTTATGTACAAAGTGATATATGTATATATTTATATACCTATCTAGAGAAAAATCACAATTGAGAACAGTAATAAAAATATAGTATAACGATATTATAATTAACGATGGTTAAATATAATCATAATGAGAAGAATAATTAATCGAATTAATTATAAATATATAGAGTAATAATAATGAATAATATAAGAGTGTATACGCGTAAAAAGTAGCAAAGATGGCAATAAAAAAGAATGAAGAAAGATAAATAAATACGTAAGAAATGAAATTGCCTAAAACTGGGCCAGGGCGGCAGGACGTTCACGGTGAGCTCCTCGTCAGAATCCTGGGACCGTCCATTCGCGGCCCTGCTCACGCCAACGATCTGGGCATCCCCGTCAGTCTTGAACCTTTACGGACAACAGGCCAGCCAAGCAACGATCAACAATCAACAATTTACCAGAACATACGATACGAAGAAAATTTCTAATTTTACTTTTTTTTTTTCTTATTTTCTTTTTTTTATATACTTTTTCCTATGTGTCGTAAATAATTTCTCTCTTTCCTTTCTCTCCCTCTCTCTCGCACACTTTCACACTTTTGTTTTTGTTTCGTAATGTTAGTCGTGAATTTAGTAACTTATAATTATAGTGCATGAATATTTGTTATATCGTTGTACGTATGTATTTCATTTATTTTTTTGTTTTTTTTTTATCTTTCTTCTTATTATATTATATTATATTATTTTATTCTTCGTTCAATTGTCGGTGAAAAAAATTCAAACGAAAAAAAAAATGCACACGTACAAAAGAAAAATTTATATATTCATTCGAGATCGTTCATACGAGCTCATTCTCACTTCTCGTTCTCTCGTTCGACATTCTTAGCGAAATTGTGATAAAAAATATACATATATGTGATAAAAAATATTCATATATATTCGCCTATTGAATTTGCGAATACAGACCAGATGTCCACTCTGCGCGGCTTTCCACGTGGTCACACGGACGAATCGAGACTGTACGATTCATTATTTATGATGAGGATACATATTCGCTCGTAAATAAGTGCCTTTAAAATTTGCTCTGCTGAAAGGAAACAGGCTTCATCTTCATCTCAAAATCAATGTAAGTTATAAATAATAATCGAAGTTATTTTGATTTATTTACAACTGAATACGCATCCATTGTAATTAATTCTAAATTTTTTTATCTCTCTCAATGTATCTTCATTCAATAAAAAAAGTCACAATATATTTTTACTATATATATATATAATAAAATTCGATATTTCTTGTGAAAGAATAAAAAATCATTGAGAGAGACGTTTCAAAGATATTCATTCCAGTTCGACGGGTAACAAATCTGTCCCTACCTCGAAAAAATTTTTCGCACCAGATGATCCTGCGCTTGATCTAACTGTGGCTCGTTTTTTCTTCTCTCGGCAAGCTCCTTTTCCCGACGGACATCGGCCACTTTCCGAAAAATTAGCTGCACAAAACGATTCGATTCGATTTTACACGCCTTTTTACATATATTAATTATATTAATTATTTCATGCATTCTTTTGCATTTTCTTCGATATTTGTCAAATATAGAATTTCGTTGTGAAGTATCGTGCGCTTCGAATAATTAATCAGAATGAATGGCACATCGTAGATCGAACGACAAAAAATTATTTATGCTTCCGAGTCGTTCTTTTGTTATTAATAATCGTTTAAATATCGTTGGAGCTTTTATTGGCTTTTTTACATCCTTTATTATGTAGTGATTATTCGATTGATCGTCAACTTAATCATCCTTATGCGTTTACATCATAGGTAAAAACATTAAAATAATTCTCAAATATATTTTCCAATACCATTAACGAATCCGGAAATAGAAAAAAACCTTCATTTGTTAATTCTATTAAGAAACGAAATGATTAGTAATTTCAACATGTAACATAACTCTATGTTTTAATATTCTTTTAGTAGAATGTAGATAACTCGGGTAATTTAATCTTTTCGATAATTTAGTTTTCGATGCCGGAAAAGCATCTCTTCTCCACTATATTTCCTTTTTTCTGGGTACAGAGTTGTAGGTTAAGGGTGGGAGATGATTTTGTTCGATGAGTACGCATGCGCTTCCAGAGTAGTCGATAGGCGCTCTAGGAAATAGGAGGTTACTTGTATTCACGATTAACCTCAAAATATTTTATTTATCGTGTCGATTTGAAAGTCGTGAATCGTTTTTTTGATTACTTCTGTTTCGATTCTTCGTTTCAGATGGTTGATGAAGAATTCTAAAAAAAGTACGCAATATTGCGTACTTATACTAATGTGATTCGTGTCGAATCCAAATTTTCGTTGAGAAAACAGAAGTATATGGATTGCTGTGGAAAGTATTTCTCGCGTTTGAAAGGTGGATAATTTTTTTTTATTTCTTACGAATTAACAAATTATATAAGTTTATTGTAAAATTGAGTAATTTATTGTAAAATCAATCGTCAAGTAGATCGATTTGTCAGTCATATGTTTATAATGTTTAAAAATGCTTTTTAACAATTGATTTGTGATAGTTTTATGAAACGAATTCGATAAAAATCTATCTATTTCAGATGGGTCATGGTTCAAGCCGTTCCGCTTCATCCGCAAATATTCTATCAGCGGACGAACTAACCTTGGTGGAGAATCTTTTCAAATCTATGTCTAGAAGTTCAGGTTCCATAAAACGTGAAGATATATTTAAACATTGGTCCACCCATTTGGATGATACATTATTGCAATTTGTAGTAAAATTTCTCTGTCATGAACCAGGGAAAAGAGTTTCTGCTATTAATGGAGAGAATTTTGGTAGACTCTATGTGTTTGCTGTTCGTGGAAGTCCAGAAGAGAGAACTAACTTAATTTTTAATGGTTTCTCAGAAGAGGAACAGAAACACGAAATACCCACTACTACATTCCTTCAATATGTTCAAGCTACTATAAATTCCTATTTGAGATTACAAAAAAATTCTGGCAACTCACACTATTTAACATGGAGTAGCATTGGGTGTACAGTGAACACTAGAAGGATAGGAATGAGATCTAGAAGTTTATGTGAAGATCTAGTCAAATATGGAGATACTTTATCTATCGAACAAGTGGAGAATTGGTTTTCCACAGCAGCCACTTTCAAAACCATTCAATCGCATGTTTTTCAATGCCTTTTCCTCATTTCTCAAAAGAAAGGAGACAAGAATACCAGTGGTAAAATAAACGATTTGAATCTTTTGCCAGGTTGCAAGGGTTTGGAAAATATACCGCACTTTCCTAGTATTCTAGGATTGGGTGATGTTTTGTTTTTGAATTTAAGTTTACCTCATGAACTTCGCAACGAATGGAGATTCCTATTTTCCAGTCAAGTGCATGGGGAATCATTTTCTACTATGCTTGGAAGAATAACTATGCAAGGTTCCACCATTATAATTCTTCAAGATATGGATGATCATGTATTTGGTGGTTTTGCTTCGAATAGTTGGGCAACTGGTCCAAATTTTATAGGAAACGAATCTTCCTTTCTATTTAAACTTGAACCAGATATACTTACATTTTCTTCCACTGGATACAATAATCATTATCAATATTTAAATCTTCATCAACAAACTATGCCTAATGGTTTGCTTATGGGAGGCCAATTGAATTATCCAGGCTTGTGGTTAGATTGCGAATACGGAACTGGAAAATCGAGCGTATCCTGTACAACTTTCCAGAATTATATTCAATTAAGTGGTAAAGAGGATTTTAAAATCAAGCATTGTGAAGTGTGGGGTGTAGGTCCTATTCCGGAAATAGAAGAAGAAGGACGCGATTCGAAGTCAATTTTGGACCAAGATTCTTCTTCGAAGGTCATATTGGAAATGTCTGGCCGTAAAATGTACAGCGAGGGATTACGGGAGGAAAAAGAGTAATTGTGATACCAGAGATTTGTTTGAGACTTTACACAGAATGAAAAAAAGATAAAAAAAAAGCATATCAGGCTATTTAAATTTTTATCAGCTCTTTAGAAACAAAAGGAAATCATTGTAACACAATATTTGTAATTCAATGATAAAATAGAAAAAAGAAAAAAGATATTATCATAGCTTTCGTGGACGTTTTAACAGAGTAATAATAAAAGAAGCTTATTTTTTTTCTGTTCGCTAATTAATTTTTTCGAAGAATAAAATTCTAGAGCTCTGTAACGGCCTGATTTCTAGTACTATTGTTATTTTTGATCAACTCTACGATCGATAGAGTGATATAATACCTAAAAAATAAAAAAGAGAAAAAGAGAAAAAAATATATCGAGTTGCTGTATTTCGAATGCCTATTATCTAGTGCCTGGTGAATCATCAATCATTTTTAATTGGATCTCTTAATACATTAAAGAAAGTTTATCAATGAGAAGAAATTTGTACAATACATATTTATTATATATACATAAGACTGTATATGTGTTATTCATATATGACTGATGCTGGTCACTGTTCACTCTATTGTCGGAAAAAAGAAACCAAAGAATTTACATTGCACTGTTCAGTATAATATTACAAAAGTTCAATAAAGAATTGAAATCTTGAGATTTTTTGAATCTTATTTTAATATTTCGTTATACGTCTATCATATTTTTTCCAATTCTCCGATTTCCTGCAATCCTAATCTAACCTCGAAAAAGATCAAAAATAATAAAATAATGATATACATAGTCCCTTTCCATATCGCTTAATTAAGTTTGACGATAATAATTTGTAAAAAAAACAAACGATATAAATAAAAAATAAGAAAGTACTTACCCGATGACTAAGATTGTAAGTCAGAACGAGATTCCTAGCAAACGAATTGGCGAAGGCTTGGTAAAAATCCAACACCTCCAACAGTCGATCTCTCTTGATTGTGTGAAGATCGCAATAGGTTAGAGCTCGAACATTGGCAGCGCTCTGTCCCACGGACGGGTTTGTCCAGAAGCTGTCCCCAAACACGTCACCCTTACCGAGAATGGCGACCACTTCGTCGTCTTGGATTACCTCCAGGCTTCCAGTCACTATGAAACACAACGAGTCGATCGACTCGCCTGTATGATACAATAGATCACCCGGTGCGCTATGGGACATCGTGAAATGCATTGCCAGGGCGCGAAGGCAACCGTCAGAGGCCAATCTAGAAATAATCAAGAAATTAGAGTTATTTATAACTATCAACATGTTCAACTTTTCACTTCATAGTATTTAATGAAACAAACTAGGCTTGCCTAAACGCAGGATGCTCGTTGAAGACTTTTCTGTTCAAGTGAACGCAGATGTCCGCCTTCATATCTTTAGGGCAGTAGTTGAGTACCTTGTCAGTGTCTAGGCCCTTGGTCATCGCCCAAGTGCTCACCACATAATCCATCACGCGTTCGCTAAGAGCTTTCGGCACCTCGTGCAATTTCATGAATTCCCTCACGTTGTTCAACATATCGTGATATTTAGCCGTGGCGGATGTCATCTGTTGGATTATCGTAGTCACGTGACCAAAGATGGTGGCGTACAACAGAGCTATGGACAAAGGTTCAAATTTGTGTTTAACAATTCACGAAACTTGAAAATTGCAAATTTTCGTAAAGAAACCTATTTTTTTAATATTGAGATGAAAAAAAATGAAAAAAGAAAAAGTATCGTACCGGCAATGATCATCATGCAGATGGTAAAAATCTTCTCGTTGTCGGTTTCGGCGGCGACGTTACCGAATCCCACCGAAGTCATGCAAGTCATCGTGAAGTATAATGCGGTGACGTACATGGTTCTCCTGGACGGTCCCGCGACTAATTCAGGCGCGGTGCTGGTATTGGTCCACAGGTAACTGTACGGGGACTGGGTGACGTTCGCCAGCTTCCACAGCCAGGAATATTGAACTCCGTTATCGGCGTCTGACCTTCCTATCGAGTACCTTTAACGCAACGACGCTTCTTACATTCCTTGTGACATTCGACCTTTAGCCTCTACCAAGGTGATATTTATATACTTATCAAGCAGAGTTTTAAATTTTTTTATCGATATTATTATCAAGAATATTTTTATCATATCTAACCAGAAGAATTATATTAAATATCATCGTTTTTCCATTTAATTTTTAACAAAGTTTTTTACCCCACCTTGGTATGCTAACGGTAAATTGTTTACAATTTTCTAAGACATACTATAAATTCGACAAAATGAAAGGCGGATCAAGGATTAATTCGGAGATGCGTGAGAGAAGCACGCATGCTTTTTCTATTCGCTAATTGTATTATACTGTGTTCACAAGCAGTTTCTTCATTTTCCATTCTCGGTTTCGACCGTTGCCCCTCCTTTTTCCAATCTTTGTACTCTATATTTTTCTTTTTCTTTTTTTGATTGGCTGCTCGAAACGAAAGCATAGGAAGGGAAGAAAGAGGGGCTACGGTGAAACACTCGAAGCTCTCCTTTGGAGAAACGGTTCGCCAACGGAAGATAATAGCGTTCGAGCAAAAGGCTCGCGTTACGTTCCTGGTTTTCCAACATCGTCGATGAAGGGACATGGAGCCCCTTTGCCGAGGAAACGAGCGGAACATCATCATCATCATCATCATCATCAAAAGACTTTTTTTTTTTTTTTAAACTCTTTTCCACTTTCTTCCTTTCTCTTCTTTTATCTCTCCCTCGCACTCGCTCCCTCTTTTTCTTTTTCTCTTTAAAGACGAGGCAACATTAATTTGAAGCGCTACTTCGTTTATGCCGCTTCGAGCCGAAAAGAAGCGAAAATAATTAAGAAGCAAGGGTGAAGGAACTAGACAGCAGACTTGCGGCCTTCTCATCCCGTACTTTTCTCTCTCTCTCTCTCTCTTTCTCTCTAGTTCTTTTTTCAAGTACTGGTAGATCTTCTCCGTCTAACCTGAATAACGCGAGAAAAACAATAAAAAAAAAAGTGGATTATCTCTCGAAGATTCTATGGATTTTTGGTAAGTTGAAATTTAAATTTCAATATATGTTTGTTTTTGAAAAATTTCTAGAACCTACCTATACCCGTCATCAATGTTGGAACAAAATGACAGTTAAGAGAGAAATTTCAAAGAATTTAAAAATTTCTTTTTAATATTAAAATCCAACAACAGGCTATACTAGAACTATTCTAGAAGCCAGTGGCAAACCAGTTCCTTTCGGGAATTTTCCTTCCTCAAGACAACATTTCTTTTTCCCCTTCATCCAAGTTGAGATCATTCGATCAAATTCGAAAATTCCCATTGGAACGAGAGTGCAATGATATTTTGTGAAAGCGGCACGGCATACGTATTGTTTGTTTGCACGTGTATGTAATATGTAATATGTCCTGTGTGTGTGTGTGTTCCTGTCTAAGACTGTGTTTTTATTGCTCGTGAAATTGCGACGTAACCAAGAAAGTTCTGTCGCTTTCTTTTATAGCTAGAAAAGAAACATATATATTAAATTTATTAAAATACATTAAAATATGAAATCAGGAGATCAATATTATAATCATTTAGAATTGAGAATATTTATGTTTAATATTACAGCCTTCATATAGGTTATAATATTCAATTCTACTTTAAGAAAGCGACAAAATATTGTCAGTTACGTGAAGATGTTGAAAATCAGGAAGGGGAAACGTGAATGACGCCTAGGTAGATTTAGCCGTCAATCCTGCCGCAGCCGTGTTACCTTTTTGTGTGTGGGCAGGGTAAAATCACCTTAAAGTGACGTACCAGACACAGGCCAGCCAGTGAGCAACCAACATGTAGAAACAGAGCAGTAGAATGAGCATCGCGGCTCCATACTCCAGATACCGGTCTAGTTTTCGAACGACCCGACCAAGCCGGAGAAGACGGACCACTTTCAACGCTGAAAACAGGCTTCCTATGCCGTCCTCGTCGTGATCGAACGCGTTGAACACGTCGTACGGTAGGCAGCTCAACAGGTCGATGATGAACCATGATTTCAGGTAGTTCATTCTGATCACCTACGAATAATAATAATATTAATAATAATATAATAATTATAAAAATAATTAAAAAAAGTATGTATACGTTCTATCTAAGTTTAAGAGTTCTTAATCTATGATTAAATAATTCACTTTAATAGATCGTTCATCAAATATCTGAATCATAATCAATCTGTGAATTGTAAAGCAATTTTTAAATTATTAAAAATTTGATAATGAAAATTTTCAAAATAAAAAATTTTTATCACCTGTGAATGAATAATAATATATTATCTGTGAGTGATAATTTGTATATTACGATTCTCGTCTATCCGCAAAAATATTTATTTGCAATTATTATTATAGAAAATTTTCGAAACGATTAAAATTTATTTTGATATATATAGTCGCATAGGATAAAGTGCGGGCCCTGAAAACACACTACGTAAGAGTATGGGTGATTTTTATGAGTGTGGAGGCAATTGCGAGATGGGTACCTTAGGGTCAGACACCACCTCGCCACCAGGGCCAACGAACGTGGTGTGAAAGTTGAGGACAATGTCGATGAAGAATATGACGTCAACGATGCTGTCGACAACCAGCAGGGACACATCCTCGCTGGTTTTGTTTTTGAACGCGACGTTGTAGGGCACCATGATGGCCGTGTAAAAAGTCAAACATAAAATGATCCAGTCCCAAATCGCCTTGAACGCGCAGTAATGTAACAAAATGTGCGGCGGGGTCTTTGGCGCCTCTTGTCTGTACTGCGGCATCACGTCGCCGCTTAAGGACATCATCTGAAAAAGAATCAATTTTCTCGATCTTATCCTTTTCCCTCTTTCTTTTTTTTTTCATTTATTTTATTTTATTTCACACGAATATTATATAAATATTTCAAATAGACTCGAAATCGAATGATAAACACGATGCGTATATTTAAATATCAACGATTACAATAATCCAGCAATAAATTCGAACATGTGCAAATCCTCCGCGGATCTGTTAACATTTCGATGCAAATCTCCTCGAAACGAGGACGAATACCTCCACCACAGCGTATAAATGCAAATGATCTTTGATTAAATATTAAAATCAAAATTTTTTTCCAATTAGAATTGTACAATTAAAAAGAAAAGAAAAATTCTAAATTTTAAGAATTTGAATTAAAATTAGAAAGATTATTCATAGATTATTCATTTTATAAAAGAATATAAATATGTAATATCTTACATGAGCTAAGTGTGATTGCTTCGCGGTGGTTGGCAACGCGGAATCCTTGAGGGCGGGCAGATGGGAGCTGAATTGTGAGACAAGAACAGATCTCGACCTGGTGACCGATCTGGCGAGCTTGGCGAATTTGGAGAGGCCACCCTTGCTGTCGTCTGCCTCGATTGGCTGCTTCAGGGCAGTGATGTCCCGGAAGGTCAACAGGAACAGGACCACTAGGTCCCGTTCGTTCTTTATTGGCGCTATTTGTAGAAGCAGCCATAGTGGTGTTTCTGTATACCCGGAACAACAACAGAATGAAGAAAACTGTCATTGATCGAAGGAAATTGCGATTCGATTGTTGTTTGATTCTAGAATTCTATATATCGTTTCATCGAATACATAATCGATACATAGTCGATAAACTAAATAGCTATTTACATGATAGATATTACGTTATACACTTGCAGAAAGAATATAGAATTTATATTTATTAAAACTAATTTGAAAATAATTTTGTTTATGTTCTTTTTAAAATCTTTTTAAAAAAATTTTATAAATATTCTTACTGCAAGATAAGATGATTATTCACTCACCGTCATGCTATCAGCACTCAAAAGCAATTACTTAATTACTAACGAACAATATACACGATGCGAATGGATACACAAGCATATATGATGATTTCTATACTACATTTTGGATATATCTTGAATATTTAAAATTCTAACAACAAGTGATTGAAAATTGCACATGTATTTGGCTTTGAAATAATTTAAACGAAGCTTTAATGATTAAAATGCGTGTAAAAATATTATTTTTAATAAATTTATAAACTCATGCCACCATTCGAAGTGTAGGTGTGTCGAGTGCTGACATCTGATGTATTGTATTTGAAGCAGTGCTCGATTAGAGTGTACGTGAAATTTGATCGTGATGCAGTTTAAAGAATGAAATAAATAATAGAAAGAAAAGAAAAAAGATCAGTTGCATATAAATTCTGATAAATTCTGCTAATTCGTGCCTATTTTAATTATAAATTATATAAGTATATTAATGATAAAAAAATCTTATTTAATGATAAAAAAGGTATCGTTCATTCTAATGATAGGATAAAAGAGGATATTCGAAATCGGAAATTATCTTTATATTAAAGTGACAGTTTAGTGATATAGTGATATTCACTGATAGTGAATAGTTTTAAAAGGACAAAGTGTGTACCTTGTTACAATTATTTTATCAACGATTGTATACCATCCAACTTTGAGTATGTCGTGTCCTGGTGGTTGAGTATTAACAATACACACGTAACGAGTCATCGAGGACGAGGAATACGTTCATTTATATTTTTTTCACCTGTAAATTAATTTTTTAGTAAAAATCATATAAATACGCGACTTCTCGTCTTCGATGCCCAAATTATTTGTTTCGACTGCTACTTGGCATTTTCTGGCGATACTGTATACCGGCTAGAGCTAATTGGACGTGAATTTAGTATGAATAGGTCGCCATCTGGCGTGAAGAGTTTGTAATCCAACTTTAAACTCGATTTACTTCACGATGTTGCTCTATGGAATATGTAGAAAGGTACTTTGACCAAGAAAGTGAACAAAGAAGTGACAGCAGAATAAAGAGGAATTTATTATGTTCGGGGATTAAATTAAATCAACGCATGTTTTCATCATTGGAAGGACGTTCAATGATAAATGTCCTTCGATCTGCCGTACATTTTTATCAATTTCATCCCTCTTTCTGCTTCGTCATCTCTGCCGTCCCCGTTTTCTGCGTCCCTTAATCTTTCCTACATAAACTTTCTCACTTCTAATTTTTCGATATTTTCACTATATTTATTCTAACCACTTCAAAATTTTCTAAAAAATTTTTTCTAACCTTTCGAAATATACGATAATTTTTTTTATGAAACTGTAGATAGATCTTTTCACTTTAAAATTTATTTAATTTTCAGTTTTAAAATGTTGAATTAATTGGAAATGGACAAACCCTGAACGAGAGATGCGACCTTTGATGTAAGAGAATAAAGATAAACGTGTAATTTGCCTACGGAAAAGTGTACGTATGACTGTGATTATGAGTGTCATCAATCGTGAGAAAGTATGTATATACTCGCGACCTTTTACATCGTCACCGTTAATTTACAACGTCCTCGCAATAAATTAGGACGAAACTCACGGCCAGCTTACTATGTACTTGCCTACGTGCCCGGTGAACTTCGCCAGATCTATCGATGGAAAATAAACGGCATATCCATTATGATGTTATTTTACGGTGTAATTTTACGACGATTTCGCTACGATCAAAACTGGAACGATCATTTTCTTTTTTTTTTTAACAAATATAAAATTTCACGTTGCAAAATTATTCCTTAGACAGTGTCTCTCAACTCTTTTTTGAGTTGTGATTTTTTTTTTGTGATATATTTCAAATAATTTTTGATATCATTTAATATTTGATTATTTTTTTTCTACATATAGGATATTCATTATAAAGCATTCAATTGAGATCAACATCAAGCAATGAGAGGTTAAGAGTCCATAGGTTAAGAGTCACTATTAAAGATGAAAAAAAAATCAACGTTGTTTTAGAATTAAAATTAATAATTTAAACTCAAAACTATTTCGTAACCAATAAGTTGAGAAGTACTGATCTACACCGAAATTTAAAAATCTCTTCTTCTTGTAGGGAAACAAAAAGAAAGCGAAGATATGTAAATCTTCTAATATCCTCCAGAAGATTCTGGATGAAAAATAGTCGACACGTGGTAGGAGATTGGTATTACTGGAAGACAGAGAAGATAAGGAAAGAGGAATAACAGTAGAAGATATATAGGATTCGCAGCTAAATCGTCGATGCTGTTACGTACGAAGCGCATCGTTCACCGAGCTGGCAAATGGACAACATCTGCAATGGACAGATACGTGTTGTGATACGTGTTGAATACGTGTTGTGTCTTTAGTACTTAAGAGTGAGATAGAGATAGAGAGAAAGATTTCAGGGAGGAATTAACTGAAATCAAGAGTAGGTGGGAGGTCGAATAGCGTCCTCTCATTATGGCCGCCCCTTGGTCCCGGGATCGTTCGACGATCCTTGTACGTGTGTCGTCTCTTGTTCACGCTAAAGATGGGTGTATAACAATCGTATACAGTATATCTCCAAATGTACATTAATATTTATAGATTTATATGTAGGGTATCGTGTTAGTTGTAAATCGGGCAAGATTTTTGGTGATTTCTTTTTTTCGTGAAAAAAGTAAGTAAAAGAGAGGAAAGAATTAAATTTTCTTCATTTAAAGATTTGATTTCAAGTATGAATCGAGTTTACAAAATTTTATATGAAAAATATGGATAATTAGATACGAATAAATTATCGATATGGTAAAAATTATTGAAATAATTTATCGATAGATAGATAAATATATATGTAAAAGCATAAACAAAAAATGTAAAGATAAATTATTTTTGTTTAAAAATTTTTAAACAAGGAAAAAATAAATTTAAAAATTAGATATCGATTATACATGCGATATCTAATTTGATTTTTTTAAAAGAACTTAAATGATAAAATTTTATTCTACATTTTTTGCTTATTTTCAAATGTAAATATAATAATCTATCGATAATTCATTTATATCTAATGGATTTCACATATATTTGAAAAATTTTCAAACTAGATTCACTCAAAAACGAAGCTTCAAATAAAAGAATTTTATTCTTTTTTTTTTTCTACCTACTTTTTCATGAGGAATCACTCTTTTTCTCTGCCTGAATTGTGCTACAAATAACAAGATAACCTCTATATAAATATATGTACGTATATATATATATATACATATAATTATATATAAATGGTGTTTTGTTATAGTTAGATTCGAGGGTGACTTACTGGTGGGTTTTTCGAGCACTCTTTTGCGAACCTGTGCTAGACATACCTCGTGGGGCACCTTTAAACAAAACGATCATTCGTTATTGGGCTCGGTTCGAGTCGATCGGATTCACTAGGATCGATATAGAGTCGCTAAGTTCATCGCTTATGACGAAGGAAGGTGAAGGAAATCTTTTTGATTGGTTATCGAATTTCGTTGCTCGTTACTGGTCGCTGTTGAGCGTTATTTATAACTGTCTGTTGATAAATATCGATCGGTAATTCTTATCGACTTAAATATTTAAGATTTTCGAAATTTCTGAAATTTTTTCTGATTTGTCATCGAGTTAGATTAAGATTTAAAAATTTAAGATTTTAGAAATTTTTTGAGATTATAGATACAGTAGTCTAGAATTTTGTTGAAAGAGTAAAAAATGGAAAAATAAAGTACTGTATATGAAGAAATTAGAAGCATCGTGACGATGAGGTGTTGAGCTGGCGAATGTGAAATATCGTTTCGATTTCACGGGACAACGACGTCTCATGAATTTTCTTATCGAGCACATTAAAACGAATATACGTACATGGAATATGCAAATTACATGATATTTGACTTTTCTCGTTAAGAATTTAATTTTTCTGCTGACACGCGTCGCATACAGATTCGAACGTTTTAAGCAATTTTCAAATTACTTTTTAAAATTATTCGAGAGATAAACAATATAAACATTTCACGAATGCAATTAAATGATTTATTTAATATTTCAAGAAATAAGCTATTTAATTTAAATAAAAAATAACTAGTTTAAATAGTTACTAGATACTTAGTTATTTAGTTACTTAATATTAAATTACTATAAAATAACTAGTTTTTTATTATTGCTTCTGATTAATACTTATCTGATTATCAGGCTTATCTCTAAAGAAGAAATTCAACAAATTCAATAAATTCTGACAATCTTTTATTTAAAAAAAAAAAAAAATCTCAAAAAAAAGAAAAAACGAAAAACGACTTTACACACGCGTCAACTCAACGTAAAGAGAATAGATCTTGGTGAAATGAGCAACAGACGCAAAGAGACTCACTGTTTCTGATTACTTGTATCAGTGATAGGCACTCGTGTTCTAATAATAAGTACTCGTACTGACACACGAGGCGAGTCTGCGTGAATCAGGCGACACCAACAACACGTGAAAACACACGATAAAGAAACTCTGGAACCCGAGACGGTCCGCGTCTACACAACGACGAATGCGGACGGTCCGGTATCC